TAATGTGTTCAGGGTATTCTCATCATCTGTCTTTCTGCAGCTTCCAAATAATTTTTCATTAATCTGCCAACTGCCTATGATTCACTTCCGTATAACATGATAGGATTTATACAGCTTTTAAGAATTCTCTTTCTCGTCTCAACTGACAAAGAAAGACTGCACTGAACATTTTTCATTTGGTAAAATACTGCCTTAGCCCGAGCTTTTATAAATTTAACTTCTTTAATAGATCTTCCATCTAATGTGATCAAGGTACCCAAGTGCTTAATAAACATATTAACTTGCTGGAAATCTTCATTTCAGACAGAAATAATTGAGAAATCACAGAAACAATGTGTATACAACCTGACCTCATGACTGCTTATTGTATAATGAAATTAAACAAAACTACAAGAAAGACTGAATAATAACAACAATAAAAATCCCACACACACCTAAACACCTAATAAATAATCATGTAATATGCAGATAGTGGCATTTAATATTTTCAGTGTTGTAACAATTTTTATAAAGTATTCTTTGTTTGTACCAGATAATTATTTGTTGGTTAAATCTTAAATACTGAATCCATCAAAGATGCAGAGAAAGGAGTGTGGAAAAAAAAAAGCAACAAAATTCCTAGTCCGTTTAAATCACTACTTATTATGGGTATCATGAGGGCTAATGGACTAAAATGACTGCCTCCTTGTGGCATATCACAGTATGGTTTGGCAAGATGGAAAGATGCAAACTAGAATGGTGGGATATAGCCAGTCTCATGCCAACCATCTTTAGAAGCCTCTTATGGCATGCATGCCATATTAGTGTGGCTATTCTTTGATTTCATTACTGACTGCGATACCACAAGGGTTGAATGGGAGCAGACAACAAAACAGACCAAGAAGATGGTGGAAAAATAATCTACAGGCCTGCAAAGACTTGGTATCATCAGCTGAAAAGAGAAGGCCGATCAGAGAAATGAATGGAGGTGGGTGATATCTGCAGCAATGAAGCTCAAGGGCTTAAACTGTGGAAGAAGAGGAAACAACAGGGCATAGGGATACAGAATACACAAATCAATGCTTATCATATCAATCTCAATGCACTCCATGTAGGAGTTCTAGGGCCTAATTGTGTGTGTGTGGCGGATGAGGGGGGGGGGATAGACACATGGCCCCCTTAGTCTAGTCTTAGTCAAGGTTTCAACAGCTCTGCAATCAAGTCACCCCATACTTGCCGGTGAAAATCAAATGAAATGTCCCTCACTGTCCCATTTGAAAACAAAATGGTGAACCCAACAAGCATGTGGTAAAAGGTGACTAATTAAGGGTGTTTCCTCTGAGAACATTCACCCAAGAGGTGAGGAACCAACAGCAAACAAATACGTCCAATCTGTATAATGCACGCTCATGGAAATCTCAAGTTCTGGAACAAGAACAAAGTCCAGAATGGAACAAGAACAAAGTCCAGAATGGAACAAGAACAATGTCCAGAATGGAACAAGAACAAAGTCCAGAATAAAACAAGAACAAAGTCCAGAATAAAACAAGAACAAAGTCCAGAATTGGACAAAAAACCAGAAATTTCTACTGGAGTTTACAGCAAGTGAACATTAAGAAGAATCTTAATGCATTGTTTTTTTCATCGATCATAAATACAGAAATAACAACAGCAAATTTATTTGTTAATACAGCAATAGAAATATTTTATAATGAAATCTTTATGCTTAAAAAAAATACAATTAAAAAAAAAAAAAAAAAAGCAAACAACTAAATCTTAGAAATTCTCAACTAAGTGATAATTAATCTCAGATTCTGGAAATCCAAAGAAACATAGATCACACACTTTCTTCTTTTCCTTGCTACCTTGTTCCCTGTGTGGGTTTCTTGAAACCATTTGGAGTGGAAAATAAGAAAACTTATTGCCATCTTTACAAGCATGTCAAAAAAGTGACTAATTCGGGATTGGCTGAAACCAAATGTGTTGGGCCAAAAGATATAATATCGCAGCTTAGCTGTAAACCACAACAAAATGAGCTAGCAGTCCTTATAAGGGCAAATAGAGAAGAAGAAAAGTACTGTAGTGATTACTTGAGCTGCTGATAATGTCAATCCCCCGAGGTCGAAGGCAAAACTATTAACCCTTCTGGACCCAAGAATTGCAACAACTGCACCAAAGAAGCACTGAAGCAAGAGAAAAAAATGGAACAAAATCCCTCTGACCTCAACGTAACCGAACACAATAAACATCAGGCTATTTATAAAAGAGAAAAACTCACATGCACCAGGACAAGTTGGCAGGAAAAGACTGCAGCTCTTAACATGGAGAAAGATGGAAAAAAGCTATGGCATCTAGTAAAGAGTCTCAATGAGGAGAATAATAGCAGCCGTGCCCACACTGTCATTGAAGATGGTGGGACAACTTTCATTGGTAAACAAGCAGCAAACCTGCTGGCTGATAGTTTTGCAGAGGAAAGCAAAATCTTCATGTCTAGAGCGAGAGAAGAAGAAGTGACGAGAGAACTGTGGAAAATAAATAAAAAGCAGGAAGATAACCAAGACATAATGAATCAACTCTTTAGCCCCCAAGAACTTGAATGCGCATTAGGAAACCTGAAGTAAAGGAAAGCACCTGGACCTGATCAAATAACAAATGAAATGATAGTACACTTGGGACCAGCTGCTAGGCAACGACTCTTAGACCTTATAAACCAATCCTGGGCCCAGGGACTACTTCATAAGGAATGGAAGGAGGCAGATATAGTCCCCATAGCCAAGATAGGAAAGCCCAAGGAAAACAAGCTCAGTTACCACCCCATAAGCCTCCTAAGCTGCCTTGGAAAGACCATGGAAAGATTAGTGAACAACAGGTTACTTAATTTCCTAGAAGAAAACAAGATATTGGATGACAGCCAATCAGGCTTCAGGAGATACAGAAGCACTGATGACCAAACCTCTTATCTCGCACAGGAAATTGAAGATGCTTTCCAGAAAAAATACAAACTGCTGGCTACTTTCTTCGACCTGACAAAAGCCTTCGATAAGGTCTGGAAGAAAGGACTCTTGCTAAAACTAGCACACTGTGGGATAAAAGGGCATATGTTTGCCTGGATTAGAGACTTCCTTTACAGACACTGTGCGAGAGTCAGACTTGAAGATCTCAAGAGCAAGCTGGTCAGGTTACAAGAAGGTGTCCCTCAGGGAGGTGTTATATCTCCTACCCTGTTTATTCTTTCCATCAATGATCTCCCAAAACAGTTCACGACTCACATTCACAAGGCGCTACATGCAGATGACCTGGCCATATGGACTCAAGCTGAACATATAGGAACAACTAAAACAAGAATGCAGGAAGCTATAAACACAATTAAGAAATGGACAGACTTAAAAAACAAGAACAAAACCATCTCAACCTTATTCTCTCTTTCCACAAAGCCAGAACAAGTTGATCTGTACCTAGAAGGCAACATCCTTCCAAAAGAGGATAACCCCACATATTTGGGAGTAAAATTTGACAAAAGGCTAACCAGGGGCTCCCACATTGAAGACACCCAAAGGAAAGCTACCCTGAGGCTCAGACTTATGAAGAAACTTACTGGAACAAGCTGGGGTGCAGTTACCAACACTGTACGACAAGTATACACTGGATACGTAAGACCAAAACTGGAGTATGGCATGGGAGCATACTCCACTGCAGCCAAATCAAACCTACACAAACTGGATAAAATACAGAAAACTGGTTTCAGAATCATCACTGGAGGTATGAGAAGCACACCAATTAATGAGCTGGAGGCAACTTGTGGCCTCGAGAGCTTGAGCCGTCGAAGGGAAGAAAGGGAGCTTACCCTAACAGAAAAATTTAAACACATGAACAACAACCCCATGCACAGAATAGCAAATAACTTGACCAAAAACCAACTGAAGAGACAAATCTTTCACCATCTATCAAAAAGCTTTCACCATCTATCAAAATTGTACTACACAAAAAACAGTGACATCCTTTCTAAAGATCCTTCAACATGGGAAAGGATCCAGGTATACAGCATAGACCTACAGCCTAAACATACAGTCACAACAACAATTCCAGGCATAGACAGAAAGGCTGAAGAATGTGACCTAGTACTGCGTGCAAAGACCCCTGAACATGTCTACAACTGTTATCCAAAACCTGAATGGACACACATATACATCGATGGATCATTGGAGGGAGCAGACAAAAATGGAGGAGCTGGATCGGTCATCATGCTGCTGGATGGGACCACAGTAGAAACGTCATGCGCCTCCTCCTGAAGACTCTCAACAAACTTCAGAGCAGAGCAGCAAGCCATTATTGATTCAGCCAAAGTGCTCAAGGAAAGAAAAATTAAAAACAGCAAAATTGTTTTCCTTTGTTGCGCATGTCAGTCCTCTAGGCGTCTCATATGGATCCACGAGACAACATGGAAAGAGAACTGACCCGTCAGCTAAACAGACTCACAGAAAACAATCAAATTGTTCTCCAGAAGATCCCGGCTCACTGTGGCATACCAGGAAATGAGTTAGCAGACAGACTTGCAAAAAATGGAACAAAGGAGAAACAACATGCCCATTCATTGTCATTACCAGAAATCAGAACACTTATCAAAGGAAAATACAAGGGATTGTGGAGAGAACAAACTAACAGTAAACATCCACAAGACCCCATCAGCAGACTTAACAGAAAGCAACATACAACAATTTTCCGTCTACGAACAGGACACTGCAGGCTCAACTACCACATGCATAAAATAAAGATTGTAGTCCCCCCAGTGTGCCTGTCAAACAGGACCCCAAACACCTCAGCACATTCTGCAGACCTGCCCACTTTACCTGCAACTTTGAAAAGACACCTGGCCTCAAGAGCAAAGTGTGCAGAGCAAGCTATGGGAAACCATGCAGGACCTGCAGCTGACATGCGAGTTCATAGAGGCAACCCACCTGATGGTCTGAGCTGAGCATACGAAACCGAACACAAAGAAGAAGAAGAAGAAGATTATGTCTTCTCTATGAACAGACCTTACTTAATGTGTCCTCATCTTCCATCTCAACGGTCACAATATTATTAGCCACACGACTCAACAAGGCCTTCACTTTATCAATCTCCAACCCTTGACTCCATAACTGTTCCAGATAACTTTCGATAGAAGCACTGCTGTAGTCCATGACCTTATGCTCATCAACGTACAACAAAAGCACCATCATAACATCCTTGTAAGGGGCATTGTCATTATCACAATAGCCATGCAGCATCAAGGCAGCTTCTGGGTGAAGCAACTGCAAGTTGTCAATAACAAAGGACTTTTTCTGACTGTCACTGAAAGTCAAATGCAGGTACTCATCTAACTTCTGTTTCTGTAAAGGTGGATCTAGATGTCTGAATCTGCCAACATCAGCTACTGATTCAGCTGGGGCTAAACCCAGAGACTGTTGAAAATTTTCCGTAATTTTTTTAGCAATGCATTTTGATATACGTTCATACTTAGTCGGTGAAGCCATGAGAATGACCACTGGGTAATCGGAATCGGCATCATTTAAAACATGCTTGGTTGACGCTTTGATTGTTTTCCACAACCGTTTGTTCTGGTTCGGTAAAAGCTGCTCCAAGCTACTTACATGCCCAGTAAATCTGTGAAATGGTGGCACAGGACCATCTGCAGAACTTGGTTCCACAGAAGACTGGTTTAAATACAAGAAAATGGCTATCCCTAACAAAATACCCAGGACAACACATAACGGTAACCAAGAAGATGTGTTCTTTGATGGTACTTCTTGAGGACTATCTACAGATGACTGCTCACTTTCATAAAACCCTTTCAATGATGGGTACATTCGAGGAGATTTAGATGCATTTCTATCTGAGGCTCTATCTAGGCTGTCAGCTTCCGAAGATGTGGATGTATTCGATCTAGAAGTATGTCTGTGTGTTTCTGCAGAGCTGTTCAGATCACTGTGATGACTCAGGTCAGACCTGGAGCTCACATTCAGATATTTGTGGCTGGAGGTGTTTCTATGTGAGTTGTTGCTTCTGTCATCATCCTGTCGAGAGTGGGAGTTCTCGCCCTCTGAGCTTCCGTCGCTATCCGTATAAGTATCATCAGCTTTCTGGCGTCTCCTAACTTCACGAGGTGATTTTGGCCGAGCCATGGATCAAATCTATAGAGAGACCCTAGCAATTATTAGGTAAACTTTTCTGAAAAAGTAAACTGTATACTGTGTAATCTTCTATGAAATCCATAAAGAAACACAACTAGACATATAAACCTATACAGCACTGACAGAGAAATGTGTTTACTCAGAAACAACACTGACAGAGCTATATATTTACATACATACAGGAGACAGCCACATGTTTGTACAGATAGGACAGTTTACAGCAGTGAGACAGTCACATATTTACACAGACAGGACAATTTACAGCAGTGAGACAGCCACATGTTTATAGCTGTGAGACAGCCACATGTTTACAGCTGTGAGACAGCCACACATTTACACAGACAGGACAGTTTACAGCAGTGAGACAGCCACACATTTACACAGACAGGACAGTTTACAGCAGTGAGACAGCCACATATTTACACAGGACAGTTTACAGCAGTGAGACAGCCACATATTTACACAGGACAGTTTACAGCAGTGAGACAGCCACATATTTACACAGACAGGACAGTTTACAGCAGTGAGACAGCCACATGTTTGTACAGATCCAGCACTGAGAGAGCTATGTTGTTACTGCCATTTGCTACAGTGTAAAAAAAACAAAACCTGTCATTACTACCTGTAATAACCGTGTAACCACGGTTTAGGGAAGCATAGGTTAGTGCGATCTTGAGCCTGAGGTTTTAGGGCCCCAGTGCTAGTGCAGTTGCCACAGACTGCAGGCTAGGATTTTATTTTTACCCCTGACAGAAACAAAAATCTATTGCCTAACTGGGAATCTGAACCTGGGTCTTCTGTATGGGAGCCCACTATTCTTAACCATTCAGCCAGCTGATCCTCACTGTTACAACATTAAATAACCATAAAGAATGTTGATCAAAGTACTTCACATAAATCAGAATTAAGAGGCATTTCCCCTGCTATGTCTGTGTAATAAACACACACAACAAAAATTCAAAATACATTAAAATAATTATTACTTTTTTAAGAATCAACATAGCACATCGTGCATACCCAAAAATGCTCTGTCTCCCACAGCAAATGTCTTAAGGTTTAGATGCTAATTGTTTCATAGATTATACATGCAGAATTCTCTTCCTGTCATATGTTCCTTCTTTCTGGATCCACTCCTGATTACAAGCTCACATACACATTATTTCATCTCACTTCATGTCTTCTGTCAGTATCATTTATTAATAGTCTAAACTTTGAGTCTCAAGGAACGCATCATACATTTATGTGTTCCTGCCTAGAGGCCCAATGAATGCAAGATGCGCTGATTTTACATCTCTCTTGACTACCACTTGGGCCTCTGAACCCACTGGACTCAAAAAGTTAAGAAAGTCTTCCCTTTGTCCAGTATGAATGCTCCTGTAGCTATAGTTTTTGTAGCCAAACTAATCCACGCTTTCATTCCCACACACTCCTGCATTTCTCTAAGAAGAATAACAATAAATGATGAAGAAATTGAAAATGTCACAAACTTTGAATATCTAGGCTCAGTGATTCAGCAGATGCTCCAATGTATCTCAGCTGATTTTTGCCATAAGAAGTTGGTTATACTTTAATGCTTTGTAGATATTCTTTTTTTTTTTTTTTTAAATTCTGGACTGAATTTCAATGGAAGAATAATAAGCTTTTCCGGTTCTTTTCATTTATTTCACCCCATCTCAGGGAATCTGAAATTTTGTTGGAAAATCCTAGGAAAGTCCAAAAGTATAGGAGTGTTAAGGTGTGAAATGAACACCGACTAAAAGTAACCCTAACACCCCCATCCATATAATATTAGACTTTCCTGGGAATTCCCTATGAAATCTCAGATCCCCAATATGGGATGAAATAAAAGAAAAGAACAAATTCAAGATATTCTGATGATACTGCAATACCAGCAAAAAGTGAACAAGAGTTACAGGACCCAGTGGACCGGATAAACAAGTGGAGTGCACTGTATGGTTTAGATATTAACACACATTTATTCAGAAAAACAATAACTGATAATTAACATTTATAATTATTGGCGACTATGAACCTCTTTTAACTACAGTGAAAAGGCGAAAAATGCAATGGTATGGACATGTAATAAGATCTAACGGGTTTGCAAAAACAATGCTGCAGGGCACAGTAGAGGGAAAGAGGAGAAGAGGCAGACCAAGAAAAGACCTGGTTACAGAACTTGACTGACCGGACAGGCCTCAGGCATGCAACCATGAAGTCCATCACAATTGATGGCCAAAGGTGGAGAGAGCTGGTACGTAGTGTTGCGGGATGATGATGAAGATAATTATCAATGGAAAGGAATGAAAAACAGTGAACATCACAGTAAATGGAGAGATTTTATAACAAGTAACAAGTTTCTCCTATCCTGAAACCTAACAACAGATGATGGAAGTAGTGACACAGAAATTTAAAAAAAAAAGAATTGTTTAAAATATCTTTAATAAGATGAGGCCACAAATGACAGCTAGAGAGATAAACGACATATTAAAAATAAGAATCATCAAGTTTTACGTACACTCAAATCTTCTGTATGTGCATAAACTTGGACAATTAACAAACAAGCAACTAGAAAATCAAGTCTCTGAAGATGTAGATAGACAGGAGAATTTGTTTTAATTAAACAAACATAATTAAGTAAAGATGGTTTGGAGAGAATGGGAGAAAGAAAGGGTCACTAAAATAAAAATACAAATTCAAAGCGTTCTACCAGGGCAAGAGACTGTTGGAGATTCAATGCAGCCAATCTTTATTACTGATATAGCATACAGATGAGCAAGATGGGCTATCTTCCGAAAAACGGTCCCAAATTATCGAGGCAGAAAATATACCCTAACAGGGCCTCAGTCACGTGTCAAATGTGTACTTTCGGGGACTAAACCGCCGTCACCGAATTGCGAACGTCCGGGGACTTCCGCCACTGCCAAGATTGGGGCTAAACTAGATGGCTAAGACTCAGGAGCAAATAAAATGAAGGCAGCTGCAGGAAATGCGGTAGCTGCTGCTCGTGAGTCCCAGCCATCTAGTTTAGCCCCAGTCCATGCCGCTCACACGGCATGGGGGATATTCTCGGCAGTGGCGGAAGTCGCCGGAAATTCGCAATTCAAGTCGCCGAAAGTGCGCAATTGACACATGACTTAGGCCCTGTTAGAGTATATTTTCTGACTCGATAATTTAGGACCGTTATTCAGAAGATAGCCGCAAGATGCAAAATTAAATTTCTCAGCTACATACAAACTTAGTTAATGTTAAAAGTTGAGGGGACCAACATCAGTGCAATAGGTTTTATACCATGTGGCTCTGCTGCTTCTCTATGCAGAAAGGTTAGCCGCCTGCGGAGAGCATCGCACAAAGCACACATTCCGAAGCTTGGGCAAAGATCTCAAGAAAACTATTTAAAAAATTGCACTTGTGAATCAAATGACGCAGCTGTGAAATGAACCCATAACCATCAAAGTCTAAGGCAAATAGCTTGACCACTTCAAAACTGAGACCACTCACCAAGCGCTCATTAGGCCGCACAAAGAAACACATTTATATCACAGTAGTGTTATTTTTACTTTCTCTGACCATTAGTGCTACTGTTTTAACATCTCTGCACTCAAATATTGGCAATAGAACATCTTGGAACAGAGAAGAGCTAAAAGTAATCATAGAATGGTAGTGGCACCATTATAAAGAATTAAAGGAAAGGGGGGGGGGGGGGGGGGGTAGGGGGTTAAGAGTAATCATGGGATGGTTGTGGTATGATTATAAGAGTTTTTAAACAGAGGAGAGTTAAGAGTAATCATAGGATAGTAGTTGTGCGATTAGAAGAGTTTATGGAACAGAGGGCAGTAAGGAGTAATATAGGATGGTAGCAGCACCATTATAAAGAGTATGGCTATCCTCCGACAAACGGTCGGCAAAGATGGCGGCGGCAAAATATCTAGCCGAGCCGCTGTCACGGGTCATTGCGCACTTGCGGTCACGGGTCATTGCGCACTTGCGGTCATGGGTCATTGCGCACTTGCGGTCATGGGTCATTGCGCACTAGCGGTCATGGGTCATTGCGCACTAGCGGTCATGGGTCATTGCGCACTAGCGGTCATGGGTCATTGCGCACTTGCGGTCACGAGCACATCGCGCAAAACTAGGATTAGTGTCTGTTGACAATTTCGAGAAACGGAACAAACCGCCGAGTTGAACTCGCCGCCGAGTGTCTCCCCACACCGCGCGGATGGGGCTAAATTAGATGGCTAGTACCCACGAGCAGCAGCTTCCGCATCTCCTGCAGCTTTGCTTGTGAGTCCTAGCCATCCGGTTAAGCCCCAATCCATGCCGCGTGAGCGGCGTGATGGCTACTCTCGACGGTGGCAGTAGCAGCCGGAAAAACCGCAAATTAAGTCGCTAGAAGTTTGAAATTGACATGTGAGTGAGGCCCTGTTTTTGGTCGACATCTATTGTACCCGTTAGTCAGAGGATAGCCGGTCTGTGGATGCTACTAAAAAGAAAGGTGCGATACCAATGCGGTACGAGCCACGCCTTGTTCCGATCGTACTTAGCCGAGTTTCAATGGCGTAACAGCCACAAACCAAAACAATATAATATTCTTCTTCTTCTTCAAAGAAGAAGAATTGAATATTGAATATGATATTAATTATTAATTTTCGAAGATTTTTTTATTTAAGTCTGAAATCTAACCTGACCGTTCATTAAAGCTTATAAACACACTGTAATTCTTTTAAAATATTACCTAATAAATATTTGTTTTGGCACTTGTACAACACAGCTATATTTTATTGACAACAGCAATCAAAAGACTCCAGCAGACTAAGACTTCGCTGGTTTCAGCCACCCATCCAATCTCCATTGCATAGTCAACCAACCAACCCCAACCAAACCAAAGAAATCTATTTCCGGCAGACGATCTCTTTCCGTGAAGAGCAGGAGTCTAACAATGGGGTGCCGTCTCCACAATAATGGTTGGTTCACTAATTACGGGTTTGGTAACC